ATGTCTACAACCAACAACATGAGACTGAGATTTTTCTCATGTGGACATTGAATGCCCCAGGTGTTAGATATCTTGCCCTAGGTCACACAGCTGGAAAGTAGCAGGGACTGGATTTGACCCCATTCATGTGTATGACAGGCAGAAGGAATGGGGGGTGTTTTGCAGGCCAACTACAGTCTGGAGGTGCTGTAAACAGATTGGTGAATACTCAGAGGCAAGAGGCAATGGGGGAACAGGGCATCCAGAGTGCCTCAAGGCATATGCCAAGTGCGATGGTTTGGATATTCAATTCCCCGAAGCCTGTGTACTAAAGTCTTGGTCCCCACTTGGACACGATTGGGAGTAGGTGGGAAATGCAAGAGGTGGGGCCCCATGGGAGATCTTTAAGTCCCTGGGACATAACCTCAAAAGGGATCATGGGACCCATCTTTTCTTTCCTCGCTCTCTTACACTTTCTGGCCAGCGAGGTAAGCGTGGTTTTACTCTGCCACAGTCTTCTCCCCTATGACACACTGCCTCACCAAGCACAAGAGCAACTGGGCCAGTTAATCATGGACTGAAACCTGTGAAACATGAACCAACATAAACCTTCTCTCTTTATAAGCTGATTGTTTCAGGCATTTGTTGTGATACCATGAAGCTGACTAGCACATCAGGCTGAAAAATAAAGGAAGAGCTCAGGCCCTGGTGTCACGTGGGTCCAGACTTTGCTATTTACCAGCTGATGACAGCAGAAAGGACTTAACTGGTCAGCTCACCGTCATCATCTGCCATACAGTGATCCATGCTTCATGGGACTCTTGGGCAATTAGCATACAGAAAGGAGCTGTGTGGTGCCTGGCACATCAAGCTCAGAAAAGGGTTGATACTGATGTTCTGAAATAGTAGGTCACAGAAGGCAACAAATGGGGAAGATCATGGGAAAATAAGATGGAAAATTATCCATGGGCTTGATTATGCTAAAGATGTTAGCTTTTATTCTTCAGAAAATGAGAATGGTGGAAGGATTTTCACTGGAGGGATGACTTCTTCAGTTATTATTTTCAAAGATCACTCTAGCAGCAATGTGAGAGCTAGCTCACATTTCTCTCTCTCTCTCTCACACACACACACACCAGGAAGAAGGAGCTTTAGAGACCAAATCAGCCAACATCTTGATCTTGAATTTCTCAACCTTAAGAACTGAGAAGGAAATGTCTGTTGTTTAAGCCACCCAGTCTAAGTGATTTTGTTACAGCAGCAGAGCTGAGACACTCAGCATCAGGAGATGGCCCACAGGGAAATGCATGGAAGCCAGTCCAACCAGTGCCCATTCAGTCCTCAGTACTGTGAGCACAGCCTGCCTTTGTGGAAGAACCACACACACACACGTCCTGAATCCAGCCACCATCCAGTGGGAACCCCCAACCCATGCATAGCTGTATCCCATTGGCTCTGGAACTCCCAATTTTGCTGACTTAAGTCAAATTCCTGGTGTTGATAATAAATTCTCATTTCAGTGGCCCACTCATTGCATGTCCATCCTGTGGAGAAACAATAATTCAGCCAACTATTTCTCCTATTCTCAGATGTTTACACTGTTTCCAAATTTCTAGTAATAAATGTACTACATCAACCGAACATTGGAACATTTGACAACAAAGTATTGATTATGTGAATTCTGGCAAGAACACATCACTGAAACTTGGTCATTTTTCTTGGGTTCAAGATACCAACTCTTAAACACTACTTCCTTCTCAAAAGATGAAATTAGAGTTCATTTGACAAAATTCAACAGTTATGGATTTAAAAAAAAAACTTAACCAAAAAGATAATTTCCTAATGATGAAAAGTACCTATTAGACACTACAGCAAAATCTTAAGGATACCCTTAAGGCACTTCAACACTGGAGTTTCTAGAAGGAAAACATTTTTAAAGGAAAGAAAAGAGGCATCTTCCAGGAAATAAAGAGATCTATAAACTTAATATCCTTTATTTGCTTATTTTTGTTTTGTCTTGTTGTTGTTTCATGGTACTCGGGATCAAACCAGGGCCTCCTCACACATGCTAGACAAGCATTCTACCATTGAGCTACATCCCCTTCCCCAGTGCTTTTATTTATTTATTTATCTAATTATTTATTTATTTTGAGATGGGGACTTACCAAGCTTCCCAGGCTGAGCTTGAATTTGTGACCCTTCTGCCTTCACTTCCTATAAGTTCAACTTTTAAGGATGGTACTATGAAGATACATATATTTTTAAATGGACACGTTTTGGATCTCCAACATTCCCTTTCTATGAATGTAACAGGAAAACAAGTAAGGCTATGTACATAGATGCATTTATGAGGCTGCTCTCCCCAATGCCTCAACAATCAAAAAACCCGTTTGACAACAAAGTATTGATTGTGTGAATTCTGGCAAGAACACATCACTGAAAATGGTGCTGCAGAAAAGAATTTATTGGAAAAACAGCTAAAACTAGTATGTTCAACATACATTTTTTTTGCAGATAATTGTGCACACACACGTACACTCACACACACTAGGATGTGTTAGAAATATCTATGCCAGAATATCGATGATTCCTTGTGCTTTGTGTCTTCTAAATCTTCTAAGAGATGTATTACTTTTCTGATTAGGAAAACTAACATACTTTAAACACTACCTCAAATGACTGCTGTAGACTGCAAAGAAAGTAGTTCAGAAACGTAAAGAGATTCTAATGGGAGACAGTAGCAGCTGCACACTTGGTCACAGCTCTCTATTCATTTAGACTCCTCAAGACCATGAAGTTCAGTTGGATTCTTATTGTTCTATTTTATTAAAACAAAGGAAGAGGGTAGGTCTAAAGGATAATCTACATGTGTACATGTATATGTTCACGCACAAATACACACACACCCTGTTTAGTTACATTTGGGAACCAGCGATTCTGCCAAATTGGGAGTGGGTCATGGACACCCTGCAACCCAGTGATTGGACTGGGGGGACATAGAGCTCACTGGGCTGGTTCCCTGGTTCACGTGACCAAGTGGGAGCAGAGGAGGGAGTGACAAGAAGAGGAAAGGTCACCACAGTATTTCATGCATGCTCTCAGACAGAAAATGCAACAACCACCACACAATGAGAATTTTTATGCATATGTCTTTGTAATCAGTACAACTCTTCAGGACAAAAGAGACCAAAAAATTAAAAAAAAAAAAAAAAAACAGGAATACAGGATTTTAAACAGTTACAGCCCATAGGTCGACATTACAAACTAGGTTTAGATCATCTGGAGGCTTTTTAAAGAGGACTGAGGTGCAGAATTGACTCCCAGAAAAGGTGCTGAGAGGGTAGACTTATCTAGAATAAAGGAACTGCTAATCATTAAGAACTTCTGGTGTTTGCATACAGTCCAATACGTGGGGAAGAGAGCAAGTCCGTACTGGTCTTGGTACATGCTGAGTGGTAGAGGCTACTGCACATTTCTTTATTTTCTAAAGTAGGCAAGACTCATAAGTTGGTGGATTCGCATCGTGATTACTTGATACCAGGCATGCACATGTTATTGGTACAGAGTGCTTTAACAGGAAAACTGCTGGATTTAAAAAATTCTGACAAGGTCATTTTTACCTCAAAGGACTGTTACCCTTTCAGTTGCTCATTCATCCAACCAATAGTTATCCCAAACCATGTGCCAGCTTATCTGTCCTCTCTTCAGGAAGGCCAGCCCCAGAGTAGGTGAGAAGAGATCATGACAGGGCCAACACTAAGATAGCCAGTGGACAGCTCCACCTCACCACCCGTCGTCCCCAACCACGAGACAGCGATCTGACTCCTGAGAGGAAAGAACAATTCCCTGTTCAAGCTGAACAACCTTCAAGGGGAATGTGACCATTGTGAGGCATGTGGGACTGGGGGGAGGGGGAAGAGGTGGAATCATTCTTATCTGCAAAATTAACAGATGGGAGAAAATCATGCCATTTACTTAACTTTGTTAAATGCAGTGGGTCTCAATTCCTGGGGGTGGTAGGCAAAGTCAGCCCGACTCTCCGCCCACTCCCTTCCCAGGGAAACAGGCTGTGGGTGTAGCTGCTTGCTAAGAAGCTGCATGCAGATGGCACAGACTCAAGGCTCAAACTGCAATCACTTGTTAGTCATGCTTCCCATCTTCAGTTCCTTTGGGGGTAAAAATACCACAAAGGGGAAAAAAATGGCTTTTCTCATGGTATATGTCATTCTTGCATTTTCTGTTTTTAAAAGTCCACATAACCACACTCTATTTTATTATAAAAATCAGTACCTCCCCTAGTTAACAAAAAAAAAAAAAAATTTAAAACCTTCTCTACAATTATAGTTTTGGCTTCAGAATTAGCAAACCAATTAGATCAAGTTCATATTCATGGCATCAACAATATTCCTGTAAGCACTGCCAAGGTCTTTCAGAGGTGAAGATAAAGATGTCAATCCATTCTTCCAATGCTGGTCAGGAGAAGGGGATTGAGGACTGATCCATTTGTTCAGCCAAAGGGCGGGGACATGAAGCATTTTAAAATGAACTACCTTTTCAGGGTAAAGAGGTCAGAGCTGGTTTTTTGAAACATCATCACAGGACTTGAACATCTAGAGAGAAGTCCTTGGAGCCTTGGAGTCAGGAGAGAGTGTGAATGGCTCCCCAGTCTTGGTTGGTTCAAGCTCTGTAGTCAGTGTATCTGTGCACAAAGAGCACTAAGCCCACCTACTGCACTGGCTAAGTTTCCACGTGGCTAAGTCACAAGGAATACCGAAGTATTTACCTCGAGTAAATTGAAGTGCTATATCACCTCTGTGTGGCTCAGAGTTCCCAACTGCATAGTGGAGACAAAAGGTGCTATCTCTGACCCACTGGGACCAGGGCAGGAGTGGAGTGGGTGAGAGAGAGCTAGAAAGCACTGGGTCCTTCTCCAGAGAAAGGCAGTGTTCAAGTAACAAAGTACTCCAATCAAAAAAAAAAAAAAAGCACAAACATAGTCGCAGGTGCTATGTTCTGCTATGTTCTGGCTTTTGAGCAGAAGCTGTGTGCACCTGCCATGGAGAGCTGGTAGGTAAATGAGCTGCATGGCTGAGAACGCAGGAGAAGCTCCCTGCAGAGCCATCGAGTCTTCTGTACCACTGAGGACTCATGCTCTTCTGGAGAGGAGAAAATGAACCTGGGGTGGGGAAGCTGAGTGGAATTAGCAAGCAGTTCAGGGTGATTGATTAATGCATATTAACTTCTGTTCTCTGCATATGACCTTCAATTTGGTTATCAACCTAAATTTTAACAGATTAAAGGTTTTCTTCATTTTGGCAGTAGAAACAGAAAGGTTACCAATTTTTCTCCTATGCTTTAGCATAAGAATTCAAAAAACAATTTGGAGACAGGTACTGAGGGAAAATCCACACACACAAAACGTCCCCTCCACCACCCCCAATAGAGCAGGAAGAGGAAAATCAGGAAGTTTTTGCAAATGAGAAACTTATTTTCTTTTTACAGTTTTCTGTTCTAGCAAGCTGGTGTGTGCATGCTTGGGTAACACCCAGAGAACTGGAAGGTTTGGGGGTTTTTGTCCCAGGGATCCTGAAAGGCCCTCAGGACAGGACAAAAGAAGGCTTAACAGTCTAGATATAATCTTTTCTAAATAGCTCACACGGAAAAATTGGGAAAACTTCACACTTTAAAACCACAATATTAATTCTGTCATGAAAGTCCACTCCATCAGTTCTCCAGTGGAGAGAAAACATCCCTACTCCAGTTCCATCATAAAACTCTCCGTTCCCAGCTTTATGGGATGTTGTTGCTCATCTCTGAACCTCCTTATTCATCTTCACTGGCAAATGAAACCGGACGGGTGCAGCTGGAACCCTTACACAGCGCGCAGAGGCGAGTCCAGCACAGTGGCCAGGAGACATCATCGTTTTTTAGTGCCACTATTCCCGCCGCTGGATTTGCTGAAGCTCCTGCTCATCTGAGGAAAGTGCATGGTTGGGGTTCTTTCTGTTGGACCATATAATCCCAAATTCCTGGCAGTGGCTGATTTCCTCAGTGGCTTCACACTGGGGAAAGGGCTAAAGATGGGGGTTTTTGAGTGGCTGCCTTGGGGAGGTTTGCTGGTGGCTTTGATTTCTCCAGGGGCATCAGGTAGCTCTGGAACATGCAGTTGGCAGGGCGGGTGCACCTTGGGCTCAGTTTCAACAGCAGCATCCCTTTGGTTCAGTTCCAAGGCTTCTAACTTCACCTGAACCGCAGACACATCGACATCAGCGTCCCCGAACACGGGCTCTGGAGACTGTCCTTCAATTGTCCTACCGATGCCACCTTCAGAGCTGCTGCCTTCTTTTGCAGCGGGGGCTGCACACCTGGAGGAAAACTCCTCTGCTGCCCCCAGGCTGTTGGTCTTACAGCCCTCGTTCTGCTCCTCGATCAGCCCTATGGTGTCCCCACAGCCCTGGTGACTCTTGCTCCTCGGCATGTTCTTCTTGTGGACTCGGATGTGAGTTCGCCATGGAGAGTTGAGCTTTGTTTTAAGATCTTCATAGGGGACAGGAGACAGTTTGCCTCCTGCATGACCAGGGATGTGAATGACTGCATTCTTGGCAGCTCTGTTCGTCATTTTCATCTTCTTCCCTAAAAGAAGGTGGTTTATAACTGGAGAATTGTTTACCTGAGATGGGAGAATGCTGGTCACTGGTCCTTTGTCTGAAAGAAATGGTGAAAGGCTGTGTGAAAACACACTACAGAGAAACACCCCGACCTGAAGAGTGATCCCATGGAGGTCTTCCCGGCGCCCTTTCCAGAGCCATGTGACCGAGGGCAGCAGAAACTGAATTCAACCCTAGTGTCTGGGGTGCCCATTTCCCTCCTGTCAAAGAGGCAGATACTGGAGGGTGAGGATACAAAAAAAATAAATTAAAACTACAGGGACTTTGCCGAGACATCATTACTCATGACAGCCCAGACTCTCTAATGTCTTTTACAGACAGCTTTTGCTCTCAGTAACAACCTCAGAGGTCCTAGATCTGGAAAACCTGGGAAAAAACTTTTTTTAAATAATTCGACAAACATTATGACCATATGGATAATCAGTTGTCAGCTTCTGCGAGGTGGGAAGAGAATGCACAGCATAAATATGCTATTATGAAGTGAGAGAAATGCTAAGAAGGTAGCAAAACTGCAGTGGAATCACCAGCTGCCCAGGTGAAAAAGCACTGGGGGGGTTTGAGAATAAAACCTAAGGATAAAGAACCACTCCTGTGTCTTCAATGGACTTTGACAGCCAACTGCAAACTGGAAAGCACCAAGAGCTTTGTTCTCCTGGAGAGCACTGTGGATAGTGGCGGTACCTCCTCCAGAGGCTCTTATCAAGTTCCTTTTCTGATACAGTGTTAAACACAGAAGGCCCCAGGAAGGTGGTAACAGCCAGAAGTGGTATGGAGAAGGAGAAGGTCCCTCCATCTTTGGGTGGACATCCTTCCTCCTTGACATCCACGTCATCTGGCTCACTTCTCTCCACCAGTCTCTACTGTTGTCATCTACCTCCGGTCACACCTCAGTCTTTAATGAAAACTGACAACTATCTGTTCTTCATCTCATGTCCTACTTACCGCAACAGTTTTTTGTTTTTAACGTCTCTGTTTTTTTTTTTTTTACTGTCTCTGTGACTGGCCCAACCATTACTTATTCTCATAGTTCCTCAACCTCTCCAATTCCATCCTAAAGCTTATTACCCAGCTCTGCCTTACATGAAAAAATATTTAACTCTAATATTCCTCTCTTTGACTCTTCTAGCTCTTAGGCCCTCAATCTAATTATACCCGGTACTGAGCCACAGAGACTTCCAGTTCCTGGATACCTCGGTCTTCTCATAATCGCTCATGTATCTTTGTCTCACTTGCACCCCACCCTGCTAGAAACCAGACTGATCTTTTGACCACTGCCTCACCGGTACCCCACAGTCCAGTGCTCCCTCTGCCTCTATCACACATCCTGGCAAAACTCCCACCCTCAATCCAAATTCCACATTCTCCTTCCTAAAAGAGAGCCCATCAGATTCATGACTTTCTATTTTGCTGGATCCTCAATGATACCAAACCATCTTTTTCTTTCCTTCTACCATTCCTTTCAATCCCAATCTTCATTACTTTCCTTAAGCTCCCCCTTACTCCCAACCCACAACTTATTCCAGCAAATAACAAATAACTCCCAATTTCTCCATGAAAGCAAAACTCTGAAAAGGCATCAACTTCCTGTCCTCCATAACCCAGGAAGCTAGAACTGCAACCACCACTTTCCACTAAGTCTCAGAAGCTGAAGTCTTTTGCCTCCAGTTGAGGTTCATCACTCCTCCTGTGTGGTTAACCATATCATTTGTCATCTCCTCTAAAGCCTTGCTACTCAGAGTGTAAGCCCCACCCAGAAGCACCCACATCACCTAGGAGCTTGTTGGAAATGCCTAATCTCAGCCCCCCTCTAACCCTACTGAAACAGGAGATCCCCAAGTGGTTGATATGCACACTAAAGTTTCAGAACCAATGCTGTAGAATTTGGCATCTGAGCAAGAATCCTCCCTGCAGAAGAACCACATAAACCATGATCTAGAGCAGGTAACAGTAAGCTTTTCCTGTAAAGAACCAGATTGTAAATACTTTAGCCAAGGTAGTGTGAAAGCAGCCTCAACATGTAAGTCAATGAGTGTACTGGTGTTCTAATAAAATTTTATTCATAAATACAGGCCATAGGCAGGATATGGCCTGTAGACCTCAGTTTGCTGACTCCCTGACTAAAGCATAAGCCACTGAATCAAATTAACATCCAACAGCAATTGTTCACCATCCCACCCAAAGATCTGTACAGTGCCCTGAAAAAGGACTGCATGATGAATCAGAACACCTCGGCTCTAGCCCTGGCCTGACCGCTCATTACAGCTATAAACCCTGGACAACTGTTAAGGCTTCCTCAGAGATTTAAGAACAAATAAGAAAACAGGTGTTCCAGTGTTATAAAAATTAAAATGATGTCATTGATAGTTTCCTTCATGATTGCTTTCGTAATGCTTCAAGCACAGCCTCTTCCTCCTGATAACTGGAAGGTGAATTCAGTTTTTGTGCCAGATCAGTCACATGCTCACAAGCCACTTAAAAACATGTCAGATTTATATTGCAGTTAATTCTGGGCAGGCATCAATTTTCATTAGGATATTCACTTACAGTAAGAAAACCCATTCCCAAATCAGCATATATTAAACAATAAAGCAGATTGCTCACTGAGATTTGGAGAAATAAAAAAAAAAAAAAAGATGAAGCCTGACAATCCTTGGAAAAGAGCATTTCCTTCTGCATTATAACTGTTCCATACATTCTCCAGACACTGCTAACTCATCTGGGAGGCACAGGCTTTTCAATGGATGTTTTTTTTCCATTTCCCCTGATGACAACATCTGCTATATTACTACCTAAATGACTAGTGTATAGTTTAATTTACTAGCACACCAATGACTAAATTCTATTTTCAAATGCATGAAATTCCTAAGATTCCTCAAGTCCAAGGATTGTGTGACTTTGCAACATTCTCATCATTTGTAAAACCCCTCTCCACAAGCCCACAGAGTAAAGATGTAGTACCATCAACGACTGCCTGCTTCTCGGGGCCTAAAAAGAACCCATGGTCTTTTTCTTCTTTAGAGCCTGATAAAATAAAATTTTAAGTGAGATGCTAAATATGCTATTGTGTCTTGTCAGCTGAGTTCACAGAAACTGAGCACCAGTTAGTAATTCCGAGGCCCTCCGAAGTTTATTTGTCCGTTACACAAGTTGAGATGGAACTGAAACTGACTCAAAGAATCCATTACCTGCCCTGATGTACACCTGGTGGACCTGCTGCTGCTGCTTCTTTTTGATCCGCGAGTATTGCCGCTTCAGGGCGCTGATGTCTGTGGTCATGCGTTCCATCATCATGCTGTTGAATGCCGCGTGGTATTCACTTCGACAGGAGTTGATGGCTCCTGGACTCAGCTCTGCAATGTTATTGGATTTCAGACTCTGCTCCTCATTTGGTTCTGCGCTCAGGGAAGACACACAAAGAGCCTGTCAGTGGAGGGGAACCAGGATTAAATGGGACTTAATTACACTAAAACTCAGTATAGTATTTCAGGAAACTGTAAACCTCAAAAAAATAACTAGAAGTTGTCCAGTCCTTATTTACTTATTAGCCTAAGTCGAAATGAGCTGTGTGGGTTCATTGATTTTGTTACCACTTTGTTCATTATACAGACATAAAACAATTGCTTCCAGATAAAAGTCAATGTTATTTTCTAAAATCCCCTTAGAAAGATATACCACCAGATGTCTAAAATCATTTGCAGATTTCCATACAACTGCAAGAGGATTTATAAGGGATTGACAGCTTCTAGAGTTTAGACATTCATTAAGAGTACATTTTCCTTAGATTAAAAATACACTGTACCTGCTAGAAATGAATGTTTTGTTCATTTAGCAAACACTTCCTGTCTACTATGCATGTTACATGTAATGTGGTTTCTGCTCCTGTGACATCTACAACTTGCAGAGCTGTCCCTTAAATAAAATTGTGATTATATCCAAATTGGTTTCTAGACATGGAATCAATATTTAAAACTAGTGCTCAAGTTTCTGACTGTGTTTCTGTAGTCTGGACCTGTGGCTCAGGCAATTACTGTAGTGAGAAAACACTCACAGACTGTGCAGGAGAGAGAGAAGCAGGCTTTCCTAACACAATATGTCAAACTGACCTGGGAACCACCTAAAATAAGACTGAGAGATTTCAACTATCTTAATATCTGCTGAGAATGTCTTTCAAATAAAAGCCGAACATCTCATAGATTCCCTTCTCTTCCCAAAAGAGAAGAAAATTAGAAGGGGAACTATTAATTTGAACAAAGTCAATAATAAAGACTAATGATAAAATTTAGGAGAAAATGATAGTGTCATCCTGGAGTACAAAATTGCACAGACAGAAAAACAGAACAAAGGCCCAGACTACAGAAACATAGTCAAAAACTTCAGCACTTACATTTAAGATAGTTCCATGTCTTGAAATAAAAAGCTGAAATTCAGGTAACAAGAAAGGGGGTGGAGGACATTACCGAAATCAAGAGGAATTTTGATGGATTCAAAAAGATGAAAGACAGCACCCACCATGGACATATACTCAAAGCAGTATGAATGCAGCCATTAGGAAGGTTCAAATGCAAAACAAGCTGCGGCTTGGGGAAAATACACAAAACTGTCACACCAAAACAGCAACAGCAGCCACCACCACCACCTTCTGAACAAGAACCAAAAAATGAAAGGTAAGCCCCATGATTTCAAGAAGGCAGTACAGTGGTGCACTCCTGTAATCCCAGCAGCTAGGGAAGCAGAGTTCAAAGCCAGCCTCAGCACATTAGCAAGGCCCTAAGCAACTCACTGAGACCCTGTCTCTAAATAAAATACAAAAAAGGGATAGGGATGAGGCTCACTGGTTAAGTGCCCCTGAGTTCAATCCCAGTACAAAAAAAGAAGGCAGTACAAAGTTAGCAGATGGCACAGAGACTGCAGAGGTGCCTCTGTCTCTGTTTTCAGCATCTCTCTATCCTCTGTGAACAGGGAAAATGGACTTCCAACCAGAAGAGGTAGAATAAATATCCTAAGGAGGAGCTGCCATCAAATGGGAAAGAACTTAGTGGGAAGACCACAACTACTTCCAAAGAGCTCATTCACTGCTAATGCCCAGACCACAGGAAGTCTGTTCTGTGCAGGAAGTAAACATGACATAGCATTGGATCCAGAGCACCACATTTTAAGAGGGACATTACCAAATTATAGGACAGTAGAGGTAAATTAAGAGAATACTAAAAGGCCTGCAATCATATCGTATTACAAATGCTTGAAGGAATTCTGAACTTGAGTCTTAAAGATAAGCTTTGGGGAATATGACAGCTGTCCTAAAAGATTTGAAGAGATGTCAAGATAGAAGGGGGGCAGACTTGTTCTGTTTTGTTACAGAGGGAAGAACTATTAGAACTGGTAGATGAAGCCTGACTCTTTGCATCTAGAAATCCTGAGCTAAGGAGAAGAATCTAGCAAAACATCTTATGAAATAAAGAGTTTCTCATAATTCAAGAAATTAAAGTAGAGGTTACCATAATGTTTTGGGGTTAAAGATTTAGTCCCATAGGGGAAGAGAAGCCAGTCTATGATGAATTTCAATTAAACTCAGATGGATGTATTAAGCACCTACTATATGCCAGGCTTTGTTCTAAAGATCTAAGCACACAAAGTTGAATCCGATTAATGGGAAGCAACAGTCATCATAAAAAAAAAAAAAAAAAAGAGGTATGTTCTGTATGCAAAACACAATACAGAGAGATCGCATCAAATAATAAAGTGGATTTTGGTTTTGGTTTTTGCTCTTTTGTTGTTGTTGTTTTTGTGGCACTGGGGATTGAACTCAGGCCTACCTTGCACATACTAGGCAAGTGCTCTACCACAAAGCTACATCCCCCAGCCCTGATTTTAAGTGTTTCTAATAAATATTTTTAATGTTAATAACCAGGTTCAGGGAATTACTGAGGCACATATAGGACCCAATGATAATTCCCCTTGTTACAGTGATCAACACATGTGATGATCTAATCAACAGCCAGCCTCTTTACCTTTCATCTGCTTTTGGTACTTCTGCAGTTCAGGTGCCAGGAGCCCACTGAAAGGTCCAAGACACCCTACGGCATCAACAATCGCATCTTCATCATCTGGGTCATTCTCCTCATCACTGTCTCTCACCTTACCATGTCGTCTTGGAAAACATACAAGAAGAAAAAGAAACAGTCCAAGAAAATAGTGGTATTTTTCAAAGAAGTAATACACTCACACTGTTTAAATGACATATTTACATAATTATATGAATTACAAACAGACTTTCCTTCCATCCCTGCCAACTTCTGCCCAGTCCTTGCCCCACTTAATTTACACAGGTGATCTTTGCTACCAGTTTCTTATGTAGTCTTCATTTACCTAGGTATAAATATGCAAAGATAACTACACAGTTTAATCTTTTTCCTCTTTTTGCAAAAATATTAGCATATTATACATATTCTTGTGTATCTTGTTCTTAATCATAGAAGAAATTTTTCCATATTGACATAAAAACATATTGTACATATACAGCTTATGTTATGGAATCAAGCTGCTAATGATACCTGATTGTTTCCAATATTATACTATAGTAAACAATTCTGCAATAAATAATATTACACATACTGTGTTTTGCATGTATGAAAATAAATATATGGAATAATCCATAAGATAGAAATACTGAGGCAAAGGATATATGCATCAGTGATTTGGGCAAATACTGACAAATTGTCACAAAACATAGTAATTAACCTCTCACAAGCAAAGTATAAGTGTGTCTATTTCCTATAGCCTTATCAACAGAGGACATTATCAAGCTTTTAAACTTTTGTCAGAACTTTTTTTTTTATTTTTTTTTCCATATTTTTATTGGTGCCTTATAGCTATACATGAGGGTGGGATTTGTTGTTTCATAATAATACATGCATGCAATATAATTTGGCCATCAGCATTCCCCAGTATTTCCCCTTTCCCTCACCTGGTCTCTTTCCTCTATTCTACTGAACTCCCTTAGATTTTCATGGGATACTCTCCCCTCAACCTTTCTTTTCCTTTTTCCTCTCTAGTTTCCACATATGAGAGAAAACATGCAACACCTTGACCCTCTGAATTTGGCTTATTTTGCTTAACATAATGTTCTCACATTTCATCCATTTTTCTGCAAATGACATAATTTCATTTTTCTTTATGACTGAACAAAACTTCATTTGTATAAAACCACATTTTCTTCATCCATTCATCTATTCATGGATACTTAGGCTGTTTCCAAAGTGTGGCTACTGTGAATTATGCTGCTATAAAAACAGGTATGCATGGATCACTCTAGTTTAATGACTTTAATTCTTTAGGCTAAATACTGAGGGAACAGTGGTTCCATTCTTAGTCTTTTGAGGAATTTTCATACCCACTTCCGTAGTGATTGTACTAACTGACAATCCCACCAACAGTGTAAAAGTGTTCCTTACTCTCCGTATCCTCTCTAGAATTTATTATTGTTTGTATTCTTAATGGCTGCCATTCTGACTGGAGTGAAATAAAATCTCCATGTAGTTCTGATTTGCATTTCCCTAACTGCCAATAATGTTGAACTTTTTTTTCACATATTTGTTGGCCATTTGTATTTCTTATTTTTTTTTATTTTTATATATTTCTTATGAGAGTTCTTCCTTAATGCATGCATGTTATTTTTTTAAGAGAGAGAGTGAGAGAGAGAGAATTTTTTAATATTTATTTTTTAGTATTTGGCGGACACAACATCTTTGTTTGTATGTGGTGCTGAGGATCGAACCCGGGCCGCACGCATGCCAGGCGAGTGCGCTACCGCTTGAGCCACATCCCCAGCCCTGTATTTCTTATTTTTGAGAAGTATCTTTGTATAGTTCATTTGCCCATTTGTTAACTGGGTTATTTGGTTTTAGTGTTTTTTGAGTTCTTTATATATTCTAGATATTAATCCTTTGTCAGAAGAGTAGCTAAAAAAGATTTTTTTACCATCCTGTAGGTTCTCTCTTCACATTCTTAATTGTTTCCTTTGCTGTGCAAAAGCTCTTTACTTTGATGCCATCCCACTTACTAACTTTTGGCATTATTTCCTGAGCTTAGGGGTCCTATTGCTTGTGCTATATAGTTTCTGGTCTAATTCCTAGGCCTTTGATCCATTTTGAGTTGATTTTTGTGCAGGGATTTAGTCTCATTTGCTTATGGATAACCAGTTTTCACAGCACCATTTATTAAAACAGCTATCTTTTCTCCAATGTATGTTTTGGGCACCTTTGTCCAGAATCAGATGACTGTATCTGTGTATGTCTGTCTCTGTCTCTTCTATTCTGTACCTGCTTTTATGTCAGTACCATGCAATATTTGTAACCATAGCTCTATAGTATAAGTTGAAGTCAGGTATCATGATGCCTTCAGCATTGCTTTTTTGGCTTAGAATTGCTTTGGCTATTCTGAGTCTTTTATTCTTCCAAAGGAATTTTAGGATTGTTATTTCTAGTTTTGTGAAGAATGTCATTGGTATTTTGATGGGGATTGCATTGAATCTGTATATTACCTTTAGTAGTACGGACATTTTAATAATATTAATTCTGCCTATCCATGAACATGGGAAGTCTTTCCATTTTCTTGTATCTTCTTCAATTTCTTTCTTCAACATTCTATAGTTTTCATTGTAGAGATCTTTCACCTTCTGGTTTAGATTTATGCCTAGGGTTTGCTTTTTTGTTTGTTTGTTTGTTTTTGTTTGAGACTATTGTAAATGAGATTGTTTTCCTGATTTGAGTTTCTGTCAATCTGACAGATAAAAAACAATTTAAATTTCTAGTTTTACACAGCATTTCTCATAAACTTATTGATGCTTTTTGCCTATTCCTGTCATTTCATCACTTTTCAACTGGGTGGACATTTTTTAAAATTGATTTCTAAATTTTTTTTTATATTTGAGATGTCAGTCCCATTTTGTGTATAAAACTATTTTTTTAAAAATCTTTTTGAGTTAGCTAATGAAGGTTTTGTTTTATTCTGTTTTGGTTTTGAGCATAAAGAAAATTATTTTTAAAGTGCTTAAATTTTTTACTTTGTTTGAGTGAGTTAATAAGGCTTTCTCAATTCCAAAGAAGTGGAGGAATTCTTCCACATTTTCTTCTGCTAATTATTTCATATTTTTTTCCATTTAACGCTTTCATCCATATGAAATTCATTCTGATATATGATACCCAATATGATTCTACCTTGCTTTCCAGATTTACCATTTACTAAATGGCAATATCTTTTAACCACTGGGTTTTGTTTTGTTTTTTGGTTCCTTTTAGATATATATCACAGTAGAGAGTATTTTGACATATTATATGGATACAAAGTATAATTCATTCTAATTAGGATCCCATTTTTGTGGTTGTACATGATGTGGAGTTTCACTGGTGGTGTATTCATATATGTTATGTCCGATTTAGTCTACTGTGTTTCCTATTCCCACCCCCTATCTCTTCCCTTTGCTTTTTTTTTTTTTGACCATTCATATTTCTTCTGTGAAGTGTCTGTTCAGTTCCTTTGCTGGGATTGATTGGGTTGTTTGGGGGATTTTTTGTTTTGTTTTGTTTTTTGGTGTTAAGTTTTTTAAATTTTCTATATATCCTGGAGATGAATGCTCTGAAGCACAAGTGGCAAAGATTTTTCTCCAATTCTGTAGGCTCTCTCTTCATGTTCTTGATTGTTCCCTTTGCTGAGAAGAAGCTTTTTAGTTTGATACAATTCCATTTGTTAATTCTTGATTTTATTTCTTGCACTTTAGGAGTCTTGTTAAGGAAGGCAGTTTATAAGCCAACATGACAGAAAGTTGGGCCTACATTTTCTTCTAGTAGGCACAAGGTCTCTGGTGTAATGCCTAGATCACTGATCCACTTTGGGTTTTGTGCAATGTGAGAGATAGAGGTTAAGTTTCATTCTGACTACATATGGATTTCCAGTTTTCCCAGCACCATTTGTTGAAAAGGCTATCTTATCTCCCATGAATGTTTATGGCACCTTTGTCTAGTATGAGATAACTCTACTTATATGGGTTTGTCTTTGTGTCTTCTATTCTGTACCATCAGTCTATATGTCTGTTTTGGTGCCAATACCATGTTGTTTGTGTTACTGTAGCTCTGTAATATAATTTAAGGTCTGGTATTGTGGGCCTCTTATTTTTCCAAATGAATTTCATGATTACTTTTTTTATTTCCTTGAGGAATGTCATTAAAATTTTAATAGGAATTGCATTAAATCTGTATAATGCTTTTGGCTATTTTGACAATAATAATTCTGCCTATCCAAGACCATGAGAAGTCTCTCCGTCTTCTAAGGTCTTCTTCAATTTCTTTCTTTAGTCTTTTGTAGTTTTTGTTGTAGAGGTCTTTCACCTCTTTTTGTTAGATTGATTCCCAAGTTTTTGTTTGTTTGTTTGTTTTTGAGGCTATTATTAATGGGATACTTTTCCTAATTTCTCTTTCAGCAGATTCATCATTGGTGTATAAGAATACAATTGATTTATGGATCTTAATTTTATATGCTGCTACTTTGCTTAACTTATTTATGAGTTCTAGAAGTTTTCTGGTGGAGTCTTTTTGGTCTTGCAAATACAGAAGCATGTCATAAGAAAATAGGGTTAGTTTGAACTCTTCTTTCACTATTTGTATCCCTTTAATTTCTTTCTTTTGCCTAATTGCTCTGGCTACAGTTTCAAGGACTGTGTTGAAGAGAAATTCACCATTGATTTGATAGGCCAATTTTTCATATACTAGATTCTGTATATATATTTGTTAATTTCTTGTCTTTATGGTGTTTTTCAATATTTTTATTCTAATAGCAGAATGCATTTCAATTCATTGTACACAAATGGAGCACAATTTTTTCATTTTTCTGGTTGTATACAACATAAAGTCGCACCACATGTACAGTCGTACGCATACCTAGGGTAATGATAGTCATCTCATTCCACCATCTTTTCATTTCTCTTTATGGTATTTTAAATTAGCTCAGCTGCTTGTGCACACCAGTTCCATACTCTTAATTATGAGAATTAAAATATATTTTTAAATAAGGGGCTTGCTAAATATTCCTTCAGTGTATGTTCCAAACTTCTGTGGAAAGTACAGTTTTAGAAATCTCTCTTGAATTTAAATTAAAATCTTTAGGAAAGAGCCATTCCAATTTTTAAAATTAAATTACTTAAGACCAAATTACTTCGTACATATTTCCAGGTCTTAATAAATATTAATTTATAATAACAAATCGAGATGTTAAGTCTCGCATCATGAAAACAACTTACCCAGAAACTGAAGTGGGTTTAGCTGTGGCTGGGAAGGGTGTAATGTTGTAGGTGTACTTTTCCCTCAACTCTGCCAGTTGTGGAAAAGGGAACGGTGCCATAGAATAAACAGTCTGAAAAACAAAAGTGAAAAATGTCAAGTCTGAAACAGGGGCCTGATACAGCTATTATCAAGCCCAAAAAACACTAAAGTTTCATGAGATTGAGGATGAAGAGGAAGATAACTGCTCCTCACATGCCAAGTGGGAGAGATTATACTTCAATATCCCCTTTAAAAAAATAATACTGCAGACTGAGAATCTTTATTCAAAATCCAAAATGATCCAATATCTGAAACTTTTTGACCACCAACATGATGCCACGAGTAGAAAACTCCACACCTGACCTCATTGCAACAGGTCGCAGGCAGAATGCAGGTGTGCTAAAGATATTACATAAAATTACCTTCAGGCTATGCATACAAGGTATATGTGACATAAGTGAATACCATGCCAAGACTTGGGTCCCATCCCCAAGATTTTTCAAGATGCATATGCAAATATTCCCAAATTTGAATCATTTCTGATCCCAAGCACTTTGGAGAGGACTACCCAATCTGCATTGAAAAACACAGCAGTTGAGTCCTCAAATCCACCCAGCTGCAGCTGGGCACTCCAACTGGTGAACAGGGGTGGGCAAATGGAGGCAGTCTGGCTTCCTCCTGTCATTTGATAGATGGGGTAACTCAGAGAGCTATGGCTCCTGACACCTCTGTATCAAAGAACTCATCAATGTCCTTCATATGTAGGGCTTTTTTTTTTTCAGTGCTTTGATGATTTCTGTAGACATTAATGTTAACTTTCTAGATGCAGTTAAGTCTCGTGAATGATCTTGTGATTGACCGCAAGTTTTCTCCAAAGATACCACCTTTTCAAATGTCTGTGAATGAGTTCTAGGTGAAAATTGTTAGCTGTTATTTTTAAAGGGAAAAAGAAAAAAGAAAAAAATGACTAAGGCAGAGACAATCAAAACTATGAAAAAAATAAAAAGCATAAAGAAGCATCTACACTTCACCAGAATCTCAAAACTATGTATCATAACTTCAGCAAGAGTAGTCTTACTTGCCCTCTTATTTTTATTATTTTATTCCAAACATATTACTTCAATCCTTCAGGTTCTTATTCACCAGCTGTATCATCCCCAAAGCAAAGGGGACAGTAAAATACTATGACCCCAAATGATGCCCCCTTTCTGTTCCTAAAACCTCACCAAGACAAAGGAACAACAAGAGCAAGTCTGAGCTGGAAAGTCCAGATACATATTATCTTTCTCTTATATACACTGGGAACTAGGGCAAGTTAGTGCAGTGTTATCTGGACAAAGCTACTTTCTTGCATGTACCCCAGGACAGTTGCTCTTAGGGATACTGGTCAGACAAACAAACTAAGCAAGAAAACTAAGTAAGTGATGACGTCACTGTTTCTACAGCCTAAAAAATAAAACCCCTCTTGAGGGGGGATGGGCACCATGGAATTGAGGGCACCATGGAAAGGATGTGTGTCACTTGTCCAGCCAACCACTGCAGGACAAAACGCCACAAAGGCGAAGGAGCACTGGTTGGCAAAGCACCGTGAGAGACGGGAGTGCTGTCAACCTGTTGCCACTGAATTCTTCTTAGGAGACTGTTCTTGGTACAGTCACTGATCTCTCGTAAGCTTTCCCCAGTAAACCATATGTCTCCCATGCTGTCTCTGGGCACTTTTTTCTGGGCTGTCTGCAATCTACTGCATTGCCTGGGCACAAACTGAGCTGTGGAAAAGACACCAGCAAATGTATATTATTTGTAGTTTCATTTTCCCAGGATGCAAATCAAATATCTTACGACACTTTTCTAGGAAAATATTTTGAAAGCGGTATTTTTCATTTCAGCAGGTCTGCTTCTCCGAAGGCTGATGTGTTTGCTCACGGGTAGGGAAATGAGGGCCTCGAAGGGAGTTTAGTTGTGCTGCTGTTTCACTTTGTAGTTCTGTGCACTGCTGTGACAGGTCATTCTAACAGCCTCCACATCTGACTGCCCCTAACCTTTGTGGTATCCACTTACACTTTACCATAACAACTCAAGATCCCAAACAAGTAAGTGTTGGCTAAAATTCCTTCCCTTCAGTTTTTTATGCTTACTGTACAAAGCTACACTTCAGGACCACAAAAGTCATCTCTAAGTTGTCTTTTTACATATGCTACATTTTTGATTGATTATATCCAAAAGGCTGAGAAGTGGCATAAATTTACTCAGTAAACCATGTCTCTCACTTCCAAAAAAGAAACAGAAGACACCTTGTGGCTTCCATTAGCCTGAAGTGTGAGATTACATCAGTTCCCAAATTTTTGGACTTCCTTTCCCTCGTCTGAAAAGTGAAGAGTATGAAACTCAGGACCAGGGTTACCTCCAAAAGGAGAGGGGGTAGAAAGGTCAGGGAGAAATATTTGAGGGTATTCACCATGTTATTAATGTCTTATATCTTAAGCTGGGTGTTGGTTATGTAGGTTTTGTTATACAATTCTTAACACATTCTGTGCGCCTAAAATAATTCATATGATTTTATTAATAATGTGGTCAGAGTGAATGCCCATGTTCTTTGAGCTCACAAAAGTATCCAACAGCTACCCCTGTAGAACTCTCCCCTCCTTGCTCATGTGACCACATCTTAGCTCCATGCACCCCTTTGAGAGGAAGAAAAAGATGAGAAATTCTCTCCTTTGCACCCTAACTTTTGACCCAGAGAACAGTACCTCCTCTTGAACCTCAATAGGAGCAGCATGTGCCCAAATATACCAACCACCATATACCAAACATGCTTCCACAGTTGGGGCAAGAGCCAACCCTCAAAGGAGAATGGGAGTGGGGAAGGGGGACGGGAGGGAAAAGAAGGAGGGGGAAATGGAGGGTCATGAACTGAAATTGATTTCCACTCATGTATGAGTTTGTTGGGAAGAACCCAGCTACTATGTATAACTGTAAAGCTCTAATAATCATCATCAACCCGCCCCCTCGTTCATGTGATCTTCTGTCCTTAACAATTGAGAAACTTGTTTTAGGCATTTAAGAAAACCATAGCAATTGGAATCAACTTTAAAAGTTGAGATTATTAAATAATAAGAAGATGATTACTAAATGCTAGGAATTTCAAAATTCCTTACAAGTGAAATGTCTCGCTGAGGACAAAAAGTAGGGTGTCCAGTTAAAGATTTGCCTGTTTTATTTTTGCCAGTTTTGTAGCTGTGTTAGAAAATTCCCTTGTCCAGCCTTGGGAAGGAAGTTTGGAAGAGAGGAAAGGCAAATTCCTTCTACCTCTACTTCTCCCATTCTGCCCAGGGTGGATGGTCTCAGCTCACTACAGCTAGACACCTGGCCAAAAAGGAAACTGGCTCCACTGGGCATTCAGGTCTCTTCCATTAAAGGCTTTCCCTTCTCTATTGTTTACTTGTAGTTAGTTCTTTAAAGAAGTAATCAGTGTTCCTGAAACAAACTTGTTTATAGTTCTTCACGTACATTCACTCACTTACTCGAAGGGCTCATTGTGTCTGAGGCAGCTCTGTCCCATGAGCCTAAGTATCCCTGGCACAACCCTGCAGCACTCAGGGTACACAAAAACCTCTAAGCTTAAACCTGGGGCAGTGGCACATGCCTATAATCCCAGCAGCTTGGAAGGCTAAAACAGGAGGATCCCAAGTTCAAAGCCAGCCTTAGCAAAAGTGAGGCACTAAGCAACTCAGTGAGACCCTGTCTCTAAATAAAATACAAAATAGGGTTGGGGGTATGGCTCAGTGGTCAAGTGTCCCTGAATTCAATCCCTGGTACAAGAAAAAAAAAAAAAGAAAGAAAAGAAAAACCCTCTAGGCTTCCAACTTATAAATTGAAGATTTTATAACAGATTCCAAATCTCTTAGAGCCAAAATATGTATAGTAATAGAATGTTAGGGTTCAAAGGAATTTAAACATAATGTAATTCAACCTCCCACCCACACAGAAGCCTCTTCTAGCACATCTCCAACAGATGGCCTCAAAGGCGCTGCCTAAACACTCCCAGTGATGGGCACACACTATTCTGCAGGACAGACGGTTTTAATTCTTGACAGGACTAATTAATCAAACATTGTGTCTCTATTGAATAAGCATCCACATCCTTGGGATTTCTACCCAATCACTGACGGAAAAAAGCGAACAGTGTGGGTCCAAGAGCACGTCTTGCCTCATGTCACGTGAGAACTGCCTTCAGATAATAGAAAATCACTCACAAACACTTTGGGGTGAGGTTTCTCAAGCACCTACAACTCTTCTGATATTAGCATCTAACCAACATTTCTCTACATTGCCCTCAAGGAATTTACCAGAGATGTGGTGGAAAGTCCTACTGAGATTCAGATAAACTGCTTCATCGGCACTCCCCCAATTTCCCTACTTAACATTATCAATTTAAAAGAAAAAATATAAAAAAGGTTGGGGATATAGCTCCGTGGTAGAGTACTTGCCTGATATGTAAGAAGCCCAGCACCATTCCCCTGCCTCCCCACACCCCCCCAAAAAAATGGAAACCGCTAATTAAAGGAGTGATCTTCAGGGGATAACCCAGCATATTAGTTTATGTACAATATTTAGAACAGAAAGAAACAGGAAAGCCCAAAAGAGAAGAATCCTTTCATATCTTTGCATTCAACCCACATTTTTCATCTGGAGCAATTTCAAGTTTACTGGAAGATTTAGAGTCTATTGTAGCCAGATCACAATCATTGAATTTTTTTTAAAGTAAATTCAGGAAAGAGTGGATTAGAATGGCATTCACCATTTCCACCCCACTCCTGACCCTTGTGCACTAGGTCCTCTTTCCTCCTCAGCCCCTGTGCACACTCTTCTCAGGGCACATAGGAGCCTATATGCCTCATAAGGATAAACCACACATCTTCTCCCCATATGTATCCCCAGCATGTGGTACAGTACCTGACATTTAGAGATGCTCAATAAATATTTGGAAAAGCTAATGCAGAGCCTAGAAAATGTGGCTGGGGCATTGATTTTACAAGACTACCAAGAAATACAGATGGCTTTAGAAAGTAGAACGATGAGGCAATCAAAGCAATAAGTATGGACAATTACTTAGGCAGCCAAGTGCTGATGACTGTATTGGAACAGAAGGAAAGAGAAAGGAGGGTTGTACCTGTGAGTTTTGTTTAACCAAGTGAACACTGATTTAAAAAGAAAAAGCAGAGCCAGGTGAAGTAGGACATGCCTGTAATCCCAATGGCTCAGGAGGCTGAGACAGGAAGATCGTGAGTTCAAAGGCAGCCTCAGCAATTTAGAAAGGTGCTACGCAACTCAGTGAGACCCTGTTTCTAGATAAAATACAAAATAGGGCTGGGGATGTGGCTCAGGGTTTGAGTGCCCCTGAGTTCAATCCCCACCAAATAAATTCCCACCAAAATAAATTCTCTGTTCTATTTTTTTTTAAATGAAGAGAAAAAAGAAAAAGTAGAAAACTAACCACAGACTCTCAATGAGCAGCTCTCGTAAAAGGCAAAGTGCTAAGCACAGTCCATGTCCTCAAAGAAATTACAATACAATTGAGGAAATGAGAGCCATCTTGAATCAAGGCAGAAGATGAAGAAAGCTTTCAAGAGGCACAAATAAAATACCCAGGGAGACGGGAGACGATTTTGTTGAAACTGAGAGAAGTTTCATAAAGGATGACGGCCTCTGAACTGAATTTTCTGCAGGAATCTTTATGAAGGCAGAAAAGCAAGACTGTGGAGAGAAGAAGGCTAAGGAGGTGTGTTTCCAGGCATTTCTTTGAGCATAGAAAACAGTTTGACTTGATGAGAATAGGACAAGGGTCAGAGAGGGAGGAAAAAGGAACTGTGGCTGAAAAGGAAGATCAACACCAAATAGCCAAGAGTCCTGGATGTTTAGCTGAGTGATTTCTGCTGCTCTAGAGGCAGTGAGAAGCTGTGGAAGTTCCACATGAGGGAGAAGGAATAATCCTTCAGAGTCCTACTTTAGACAGATGATGGTGTCTTCTTCCTTTTTTTTTTTTTTTTCTTGGTACCAGAGCTATATCTCCAGCCCTTTTTTAAAAATATTTTATTTACAGACAGGGTCTCACTGAGTGGCTTTAGGACCTCACTAAGTTGCAGAGGCTGGCTTTGAACTCGCAATCCTCCTGCCTCAGCCTCCCAAGCCACCAGGGTTGCAGGCATATGCCAGTGTACTCGTCTGATTCTGTCATTTCTGTAGCATGTACAGAGTCTCATGTTTGGAAAATGCCAGTGATGGACCTGGGACAAAGAAGAGTGTTCAGTAAAAGGCACCATCCTTCAAGAGAGAATGAGCAATGAAATAACAGGCCAGGATGTGTGAGAAGAGTTGGAATCAGAGCATAAAATTAGGGCCAGACAGAACACTTCTTCCTTTAAGACAGACAGGAAGAAATAAAAGGGATGAGAGTACACAGGGACACTGAGGTAAAAGTAAGAATGCTCAAGGGAATTGTATCAAAGGGTCAGATAAATCAGATTGCTGCCTGCCAAGAGCAAGAGAGTCTGAGGAGCTGGGGGAGCCTTGGAGTGAGCCACAAAATGAACAAAGCCCCTCACCTATCTGCCTGAAATTGTCCTGAGTCTTGGTTTTGTAGCCTGTTGAGTGATCCTGGCACCTCAAAATGACCATGGGACCCCAACATAAAGGTGAAAGTTGAAGCTGAGAAAAAGGAGAAAAATCACAGAGAAGGAAGGAAGTCCCCAGGACAACCCTGGATACAGCCTCCCGTTTGTCAGTGGCAAGAGGAAGAAATAAGAAGAAAAGAAGTGATTGAAAGCACCGGAGGAGAATGAGGACAAAACTCTGTTGCAGACTCTAATGGAAGAAAGAGCACCAACACACCAGCTCTCTTTTCTACACTTGCTGTCAATTTCAGTGACTTGGTCAATGTGATCTTGAAAGACAGCAAAACATGAAGGAAAATATGCAAACCCTTTAAGTCTTTCATGCTGAAATTTATGATTCATGTATAATAAACTGGTTTTAGAAAGTAGAACAATGAAGGTGAAATGAATCAAAATGCCAATTAGAATAATCTTCTTTTGTATCCTAATACCTGCCCCCAAATAACAATTTTACCCCACAAATATCCCTTTAAGAAGGCTAAGAATTAGATTCAGAATAAAACACTATTTTCCCCCTGATTTATTTCTATTTTGCGCCTAATGTTTCTTAAGCGGCGCAGTTTGAAGGAAAGCCCTAACAAACAGCCATCATTCATTTCTTCCTTCCTCTTGTCACATAAATTCTTATCAAATTAGACACAGACTCTTAGTCAACTGAAAAAATTAGACTGACAGCTAGCCAAATATATTTCCCATAGACTGCTGCTCTGACACCGGTAGTTACTTTAGCTCTGGGTTCCTGCACCCAGGCTGGGCCCCGCTGCCCACTCACCTGCATGAGTTCATGGCTTTGCAGAAGGTCATTCTCCAGCATCTCCTGGGTGAGGCGCCCCATGGTGCCATAGAATTCATCTGCTGTTTCACAACATTCTATCTGCCTAGATGAAGAAAGAAGGGGAAAAGGACTTATTGAGGGCACTCATGCTGTGTAATGGGTATGTGCTGTAGATACAAGATGTGCTGCCTCTCACCATCAACCAAGTTAGCAATCAACAGAAATCAAAATCCTGGGACACAATGAATATGAAATAAAGATCAAAGGTACCAAAACCAAGTTGGTCCAGTGGTCTACACCCATCATACAGGCTACTCTGGGGCTGAGGCAGGAGGATGCTTGAACCCAGGAGTTCAAGACCAGCCTGGGCAACATAGTAAAACCTCATTTAAAAAAAATAGCAATCTAGAGGTACTTGTTCTGGTATGCACTCCCAAAATCCCAGCAACACAGCCCCACTGTGGCTCTTCATGGGTTCCATTTGACACATTCTATATATCAGAAGACCCAGCACTGATCAGAAATTATAACCACAGAATTAGGTACTAAAGAACAATTATCCCCTGCAGAGACTCTGTTGATCTTAATCTACAGTGATAGCATGAATAGGTGGAAACCAAACCACAGTAGAGCTAAAAGTCAAAAAATACACAAACGTCATTTGCATATTTCATCAGTCCACAAGAACTTTCTGAGCCCTTCTCAGGGAAGAATCTATTACCTGGTAACCTGTGAGATAGGTTGGACTTTCAACTTTCTTCTAAATTGGGGGGGGGGGGGGGGGGGGAGTAATCCAGGACAAAGAACACAGGGTATTTCTGTTTTATCTATTATACTGTTCTTTGTACAGTTGGACAGTTCAATTTGCTCACCAACTGGGTGATGTTCATAGAATCATCCAAAAAAAAAAAAATGATGATGGAAAAACCTCAGGCTTCAGGGTATTGTGTGGGTTGTTTATGATTGTATAAGTATATAAATGAAGTAAACTACTAAAATATTATTAAAAAGATACAGCGTAGGATGTGGGCATAAATGAAAAGTGGTTAAGTTTACCCTTAGGGAGTGAAGAAGAGAAAAAGTGCTTTGAAAAATGCTCTCCAAGCTGACAAAGAAGAAAAAACATTCTAAAGACACCAATGCAGGAAACAGCAGGCCTATCTGGGGAACGGCAAGTAGCTCCACAAGACCAGGGGGCAAATGAACGCACAGCCAGAGGGAGCCAGTGAACGCTGAGGCTAGAAAGCAGCAGATATATGATCACAAAGGCCTCACCTGCCAGCTGAACCACTTCAGGACAATAGTGTTGAAAGGCTTTTATTAGGGAGTGAGGGGACAGCTGTGTCCTTGGGAAGGTCAGCCTGGAGGTGGCATGGCAAATGTGGTGCATGACTGGAGACCAGAGAAGACACACCACAATGGGCAATCAACAGAAATCAGTGAGGGAGTGTGCCAAGATGGTGAGCCAGAGAAGAAAAGACACAGCAAGAGATGCTAGTGCAGATGAACTGATGGTCTACAACTTACAGATTCCAAAAGCACCCCTCGGTGAGTGAAAGGAGGGAATCCCCAGCCGCAGAAGGTGGAAGGAGATGCCCCATGGATAGCCATACGTAAGGCACATATGTTGCTCAGGCACACATCAACTAGAGATTACCTTTTATGCTGTTTATGGTTTTTCCAATGAAACATTTGTGGAGTGGATTACAGGCACTAGAGTCAGAAAGATCCAGGGGTAAGTCTCAGCCCTGCTAATCATTAGCTGTGGGATAGTCTTCTCACTTGAAATGACAGGGAGGAATAACCCTACCTACTTCCCAGCATTATTGGGAGATCTAAATGAGCTGAATTTACCTAACATAATGACAGACACTGTCAGCACTTGATGATATGTGTTGGTTGCCTTCCCTTGCATGCTAAAAAGATTTTCAATTATGATAAGCAAAGATTATACCAGACTGATTTTATATATATATACACACACACACACACACATATACACATACACACACATACATATATATATATATATATATATATATATATATATATATATATATGCCACAAACTATCCATGGGCTGTGTGTGGACAGTTGCACACAGTAGCCTCCTGAGGGGATAAGTCTGGCATTGGGAACTCCCTCTGGCACCCACACCCATGCAGGTGAACTTCCCCCTGAAGCTCTGCCAAAGATTCCACACTGCACCTGAGATGGGTGTGACCTGCCAAGATGTCAATCACCCTGCTGACTGCGAGACATCATGAAGCAAGCCTCCACCCTTGCAACCTTATCCCTTCCTTTGATGTACCCGCTTAAATAAACCACCAGAGCCATTTTCTCTTTGTCTAGTTCCAGAACCCATGTAGACTAGATCTATCCAGGGCTTCGCATTCTGTAAATATATCTGAGTATTTGTGCTTTGTTCCTGACTAATCATCTGAGAATGTAAGTTTTAGGGTGGCTTAGACTCCTCTGGTGGAGGAGAGATGGCAAGAGAACCCCTCAAAGAGATGCTGGCCATCATCACCCTGATATATATATATGATCATGAAGTTCAGGATATGATATATGTATATATACACATACATATATTGCAAACACTCATGAATATTAGCCACTTATTATCAGTAGACTTGCATAATTAAAAGCACAGATTCACATTAGATTGGATAGAGAGAAATGATGGGAGGGGAGGGGAGGAGTAGGGGGAATAGGAAGGGCAGCAGAATAGAATAGACATTATGATTGCTGTATGTATATAGGTGACTCTATGACCAGTGTGATTCTGCAATCTGTACAATCAGAAAAATGAGAAATTATACCCCAATGATTCAAATGTATGAATTGCCAAGATCATTGTAATGTCATGTGTAGCTAATAAAAAAATAAAATAAAATAAAAAAGCACAGATTCAGGTCCAGGATACTTGGGTTTAAAACCAGGACCTTCCATTTACGAAAAGGGGGACTTTAGGCAATTCACTGAATCCTGTGTCTCAATTCTCACATCTATAAAATGAAGATGATGACAATATATACCTCTACAGGATGATGGTGAAGAATGACTTAGTTAATGTATGTGGAGGACTTGGAACAGTGCCTGTCCATTTCAAACACTCAATGAATACTGGCTCTTACTTGCAGCTATTGTTATTCTGTAAGAGTGACACTGCTGAGATTACCATAGGAATAAATTCCCATCCTCCAGATAATGACTAGATGGGCATAAAGCCAGGACTTCCTCTTTTCTTCCTGCCCCATTATTAAGAAGTCACAAAGGTGAATATCACTGTCCCCCGATACAATAGAGAGCTTTACTATTTTAATACTACCAACCAGTCACCTAGTAACTGGACCGTCACACCCAGAAAAACTCAAAAAGCTTATAATATATAATGTTGATCAAACACATGTGACTACAGAATGAGTTAGATACTGGGAGAAAATGAAAATCAAACAGTACACTAAATCCCACACAGATGAACTGATTGGCCTACCTGAAAAGTAAAACAAAACACCACACTAAATCCATCAGATGGATTGTTTGGCCTACCTGAAAAGCAATGTTCAATAAAACAAAGGCAAAGGAGAGAGCTATGTCATATTTTAAAATACTTGTACACAATAATGATTTTTTTAAATCCCTGAATTGATAGTTAGTGGATCTTTTTGCGGGGGGAGGGGGATACCAGGGATTGAACTCAGGGGCACTCAACCACTGAGCCACATCCACAGCACTTTCTAGTATTTTATTTAGAGACAGGGTCTCACTGAGTTGCTTAGCGCCTCACTGTTCCTAAGACTGACTTAGAACTCACCATCCTCTTGCCTCAGCCTCCTGAACTGCTGGGGTTACAGGCATGCGCTACCACGCCTAGATGGTGAAACTTTTTTTGCAAAAAAAAAAAAAAAAAAAAGTGCTGGATGTCTCCCAGGAAACAAGTTATCATAAATAAAAAGGCGAGTTTAAAAAAGGTTTTGAAAAAAGACACTGCCAGTGGTTTATTAGTTTTTTGACATGTTGTCCATGCCATAGGTAATGTTATGGTTTGGATATCAGATGTTCCCCAAAAGCTCCTGTGTTGAGCAAGAGGTTAAACAATTAGATTATGAGAGCAGTGACCTATGAGTCCATTCTTATTTGAATGGATGGTAACTGTTGGTAGATGGTGTGTGGCTGGAAGAAGTGAGGTCACTGGGAGCCTGTGGGGATTACATCTTGCCCCCCTGACTCTTCCTTCATTCTCTCTACTTCTTGGCCACCATGAGCAAAGCAGTTTCCCTCTACGACACCCTCCACCATGATGTTCTGTCTCATCTTGGGCCCGGAGCAATGGAGTTGGCCAACCATGAACTGAATTTCTGAAATTGTGAGTCAAAATAAATTTTTCCCTAAGTTTTTCTTGTAAGCCAGTTTGGTCACAGTGACAAAAAGCTTACTAACACATGTACCCACTCAAGTCATTCATAGCTCTGGGAAAGAAACATTGAAAACTTCTCTGCTTCTTAAGTAAACTGTTAACAGTCTCATCCTAATGTGTCTTCCATTAACCAAAGGTTACAATGTTAATGTATTAGTCATAATATATTAGAGATAAGTGAAACTACCCTATCTTTTTCAGCCCTGCTACTACTAGTAAGGAATGTAAGTAAAATTTATTTGGTAATATGTTTTGGCGGGACCAGATTTAAACACATAAGCAATTTTTCATGAAAAGAAAGGAGTTCCAGAGAGTCTACTATTGACTATGTACCAAGCACCCTATTAGAATCTTCTACAGGTTATCTTATTTAATTTTATCATAGTTCTGAATGGCAAAACAAAATAAATAATAAAGATTCATAAATAATCCAAAGTATTATATAAGCCAATAAATCCACATGCTCCTCTCCAGATCTTCCACTTTCTCTTCCATCTGAGTTTCCCTCCTTCCTCCAAAAGAATGTCCAGAGGGATGCTGAGGAGAGACTCAGCCAGGACAGGTCCACTGAGGAGGAGGGGAGAATCCTCCTCTTCCCTCTGCCCCGAGCAATCAAGGAGCGGGCAGCTGAGATTTCAGGAGCCTAAAGCAATTCAAGAAAGTTCACAACTTTCTCTTCTCCTCACACTCACTATCAATGCTTCGCATTCAAAGCACAAAAATTGCTTGAGGCTCTCAACACCACAGAATGAAGTAGATGAGGGAAATCACTTACTCTCCCAATTTTGCCCAGATGGCCAGTGACACCCTTAGGATGATCTCCGAACCTTCAAAGAAGACTGAATCCCAGATCTTTAAAACTGTGTGATTAGGGAGACACGTGGCAAAGAGAGTCAGAAACCACTGCATCGTGAAGACATTCGTAAGTGGGGGCTCGTATCCACCTGAAACAAAACAAGCATGCTTAATTCCTTCAAAATTGATGATGTACGAGATGGGCAAACACCCTCTCTCAGTCTTCCATGTCCACTCAACTAGGTTCTATTTCTTGACTTATTCCTTCATTCTACATCCTGGTTCTTTCTTCCTTTTATTCCTTCCATGCTTCTGGAGGAACGTAGGTGTTTTTAATGAAAACCTCAATCATGTGAGCTTCACACATTCTTTATGATGCTTCAGAAATCTTAACCTAAAACCTAACTATGGCTCTACCTGTTGTAGGGTGCTGGAAATTAAGAAGAAAGTTTCCTCACCAAAAACAAAACAAAAATAAAGGATTTTAGCCTCTCAAAAGCAAAAGGCATCAGATTTTCAGAATCTTATAAAGCACACTTTTACTCAAATGTGGCCAAAAAGAATGAACTTGTTTATTATAATTTATCTGTCTGCTTCTTAAATTATGTACACAATTTTCAGCAAGCTAGCTGGAAAATCCCAAAATATTTGGAGACTAAACAACATTAAATTTAAATACATTTTGAACTAAACTATATATAGTTTGAAAGAAAGACCTGGGGTTCCATCCATTTTGAAATTCTGAATTTACTAAAAACAGTACTTCCACTTCTTGTGATATCATAAGCATATATTTTATTGAAATATAACAACTCAGACATTTAGACTGACCTTCCCTCCCAGTTACAGTCAGTATGCACAATTACTCAAGTGTAAGCAAAAAAGAGATCTGTTTTCCTGCACCCATTTTCTTCCTCCTTACCTATGAACAAACATTTGCTCAAAGATTAGAACCAGAGGTTATTCCTCATTAGCCAAGTGCCACGAAAGGGAAAACATGTAGCTCAGTAAAACATGTCTGACTGTAGGACCGGCAAAACCAGTCTATGCAGAAGCATTGTGAAACTCACGCAAGTATACAGTTACGCTGTACACCAAATTAAATGCAAATAGACTAGGAGAAAAAACTTAGAGACACCCAGCTGTCACTAAAATATCACAGTGTATTTTAATCAAAGATTAGATCCTCAAAATCCTTTAATATGCTCCAAGACTTAAATGTGTGGGTCCGACTAACCCACAAATGCATGATCTACAACAGGAACCAGCAGCCAAGTCCAGGAAACAGCAAAACAAAACATTCTTTCCCATATCAGAGCACAGACAATGGGTGTAATTGCACCAACTTCAACCAGGTACTGCTGAGGGCTGATGAGGCCAGTAGATGGCAGCAGCTCTGAGAACTGCACTTTCATAGCCTCAATGGTTCTCCAAAGCCAGCTTGTGCTAAATGGTACCTGAAGCTCAGCTTTAAAGAACTCCGACAGGTTTGGTGCCAGTGTAGAGCACTTTAGACAATAAGACACATACACCATTCTTCATCTAGAGTACAATATATCCCGTTAGTTTCTGATCTGGTACCAAGGGGATGTTAGGCTCTCAACCTGTTTTCTACCCATGACTAACTAGAGGCTTAACACATGACCCTACATCTGTATTTTCAGTTTTGTTTTTTTTCTCTGGGAATCTATTTCATTGCACCAAACTCTTACAACAGAAATACCTGGAAGGGCTGGGGTTATAGCTCTGTGGTAGAGTGCTTGCCTAGCACGTGTGAGGCACTGGGTTCGATCCTCAGCACCACATATATAAAAATAAATAAATAAAACAAAGGTATTGTGTCTATTTTAAAAAAAATTAAAAATTAAAAACAAAGAGATACCCGGAAACCTGCATTTCCATTCAATGTTAGCTCATGTATAGAGTGGAATCTCACAAGCCAAATATTTTTAAAGGTTTAATAGCAATGAAACATCACAACCTCCACTTTCTTTGTTTGCAGTTCTCTGAAGAGTATCCAGGTGCTGAGATAATTCAGGGAGTTTCATTCTCAAGAGGTCTCTGAAGACAGCCATATCCACAGATAATGCCCGGAGATTATTGACAAAATAGCTTTCAGGAAGTACCTTATCAATCAGGTAAATCATAATCTAAAGAAAAAGATAAAGAATAATACAGCTTCATAACAACCAAAATCCTAACATGTCCAAAATTAAAAGAATATAATTCAAATAGATAAAATGCAATTAGCCAAAGCAAACTCTCCTTTAAATGTGTCAGTACCAATTTTTCAAGGCTCACTTACACCTGATGTAAGGAGAAGGCAGCATAATTATCTAAATAACTTAGACCCAAATTCTGCCGCCCTCTGAAATTCCTAGATGGGCCACCAGACCCCATAAGCAGCTGTGATCACACAACTCTCAGCTTCACTGAGGAATGAGAAAGCACAGGCTTCATCAGCCACCAGCAGGAGCCTCAGCATGGAATCCTGGATGAGTAGTTTACCACGTCAATACGAAACCCAAGAGATGGGCCTATCATAAAACACCCACGCTGAGGTGGCCCTGAGATTCACTTTCCAATTACCTGGGTTATTACAGCAACTGATGTTGGTTTTTGACTACTTTCTTCTCCCAGGAGAATGCAACCAAGTTTTGTTTGAACAAATGGGACTGTTTTAAACCCACATTTCTTTCATAAGATCATCACCTGATTTCTTCAAATTACAATCTTCATTCTTGAGTTTTATACTTGTAGTATCTTTTCTAAAGTGTTAAGAACCACTAGATCTAGTAACACAAAAACAAGTTCTGGGGGCCGGGATTGTGGCTCAGTGGTAGAGCGTTCACCTAGCACATGTGAGGCCCTGGGTTCAATCCTCAGCACCATATAAAAATAAATAAAATAAAGGTAGTGTGTCCAACTACAACTAAAAAATTAATATTAAAAAAAATGCACAAGTTCTGTCCTTCAATCCCTAGTCCTTTCCCTGTCTGCTTTTATAGTCCATAAGAGACCAGATCATTCCCAGAGCACCAGAAAAACAAAATTAAGAACAAAATCATAGCTGGCTCTGTATGCAGGCGGAAAAGTGCTGTCTCACATTTTTTATCTTCAGGATACCACAAAACTCTATTTTCAAAAAAAATAAAGTGATAGATAAAAATCGATCTACCTCTGATCAATAGAGATCTCCCTATCTATCTTCCAGCCCTGCCATGGGACCATTTTCCCCTTATTCCTGGCTTATACTTTCTAATTTTCGATTATGGTTTTGTATGATTCTTGAGAAAGCCCTCTGAGGTTTTTGATCCACAAGCCTAGGGAGACTTCTTACGTCAGCACAGAATGTACCAGGTAAATGTATCATTGTCTGGGAAACAGGAGCTCGGCAAGACAAGGAGTACATTCAGTCCACATGGAGGAAGAGGTCCCAGCAGGGTAGAGCACCCCGGTAGGCACCTAGCACTCCATGGATCTGGAGAAAGGGGATTTATAGGAACAGAAAGGCAAATTTAAAGGTAATGGTCTGGGGGTTATTATCCTTTTCACCTAAGGAGAAGTTATATAGTACCAAGAAAAGCACTCAAGTCATTATTAAGAAATTATGATCCCATCAAAATTATGAGAATAAGAAAAGATATTTCTTCGATTATTCTAGTAATTCTTATAATAAAATTCTCAGTATAAAGTCATCTCAAAGTCTGGTGTTAAGACAAAAGAGACAGCTCACTACCAAATTTCAAAGACCAAATCATATATCTTAAAAAAATAAATAAATAAATGAGATAAGTAATGAAAGGGCTTCAAATTTTTGACAAATATTTAGAAACAAAATAATGACTGGGCTGGAGTTCTGGCTCAATGGTAGAGCGCTTGCCTCACATGTGTGAGACACTGGGTTCAATTCTCAGTACCACATATTAATTAATACAATAAAGTCCTTTGACAACTAAAAAACATTTTAAAAATCTAATAATAATTACTAACAAAAGACAGTTCTGGAAATCAGAAAAAAAGTTGTTCACCTTTTTTAATAAACTATGAATTTCCCTAATAATTTCAACTTGCTGATGCCAAAATGGCTGCTAAAAAAACACAGACACTGATATTTTTCTTGGCATCAGAAGTGCTTCTTCATCAACCCAACTTTCCTCTGCATATTAAATATCTAATCACAAGATCTACACATTCCTAAACAATGATGATATATGTCATCTCATTCCATGGGGCTTATTTTCTTGGGGACAGAAATAAAAATATTCAGTTTCTCTGCTTTGTCCAATCCATCTTTTTATGTGAATTTTAGTTTCTCTGGTACCACTGAGTCCTTTCATGAGTTGATTGGCAATGTATACTCCTTTTCCCAAATTTCTCCAGCTCTCTGACCTGAATCACTTATTCCAACTTTTTAACAGAACAATTTCCATTTCATAGCCATACAAATTATATCTGGAAAAAATACTAACAGTGATAGAATGAGTAAATAAAATTGTTTCTTAATTTAAAATGTCTTAAATTCACACATTTAATTTGTCACTGTCCACCACCCCACTTCCCCACCCCACCTATTTGATAAACAAGTCATTTCAAAGCTATTTCCTTAAATACATGAATGGAAAAAGTGAGCAGGTCAACACACACTTAGATCATGTCCGGCTGGGTTTATAATTAAGTCCACTGTGATGTGTATAAACCTAGGAGGAACATGTGCTTATTTTTCCATATCACACTAGTCAGTGATAGAGAATGTCACTGAGGTATTCACCACAGTCAAACACAAGAGTTGGTAGGGTTGGGAAGGTGTTTTGAATACAGAGAACAAGCCTCCATCTAATATATCACAAACACTACAATCAGCAGCTGCTTAAATGTTCAAATATGAATTGGCAACCCACATTGTCCTAAGCAATTAAGGCAGTGGCCATCCCCCACATTTGCAAGGCTTCATTTATTTCTCATAAAGACTATTTCTGGTGACACATGACTCACATTCAGACCCATAAACTTACATTGTTAGTGTTTTATCTCAAGTTGTTTTCAGAATTGTGTCTAACTAATAAAGGTCCTACACACCGAAGATTAAAAGGTAATGATATAATTCACTTCCATGACCTTTCTCCAAACACCTTCCATAGATACACTCAGCCCACCTCCTTTATATCTCACCCCAAATATGAAAGAGTAAAGGAACCAAATAAGTCTATCCAACCAGAATTAAAGATAACTGGCATGGTAGGCAGTTATAAAATGAACCCCAGTAACCTCCACCTCGTGGTAGTCTTCCCCTTGAGTATGAGCTAGACCTGGTGACTGCTTCATAGGAATAGAATATGGAAAAACAATGGATGTCACTTCTGATATTTGGCTACAAATCTATACCTTGAACTTCTCTGCCTTACTTGCTTTTATTCTCTTGCTCCCTCAAGGATGCCAGGAACCAAGTGGTGGGGTATAGGGGCTTACATGGCAAGGAAATAAAAGAGGCCACCAGTCAATAGCCAGAGACCCTCAGTTCAACAGCCTGTGAGGAATTAAGTCTTGCCAACAACCACATGAACAAACTTGATGAATGCTCCCCCCACCACCCGTCAAGCCTTCAAATAAGAACATAACCACCAACAGTTTAAATGCCACAATGATATGACCTTGAGTCAGCTAAGCTGTGCCCAGATTTCTGACTCAAAGAAACCATAAGGTAATACATGCTAGCTGTCTTAAGCAGCTAATTGTTACACAAACATGATAATTAACACAATTAATATTTAAGTTGCCTTTAACATATGATGCCTTATAAGTGAGACTAGAAAATAATCACCCTCACAGTCAGCAGCTACGTGAGTCACTTGACATGGCTTTAACCTGGAGAAAATGCTAACCTAGGTCATTACCAAAGTTTGGAAAAGGGAGAGGCGTCAGGGAAGAGAATTATAGCTCCAGTTTTCTACTCTAAGAGAATTCCAGTCCCCTCCATCAATGACACTTACTTTCAATGCATCCCCTTCATTGCCTTCCATAACTTCCAGAATTAGCGCAGCCAGGATGTTAAAGCCTTGGCAGTACCCGACATTCTTGTTCCATCGGGCATAGGCCAGCAGCACCCGCTTCAGCACAACCCTGTCCTGCTCAGCCTCTTGGCCACAGTAAGAACTGCAGCCTGTACGGTGAAGATCCTAAAAAAATAAAGGGAGCAATATTATTAAAATACCTGCTAATGCTCCCTCACAAGGAAAATACCTTTTGTTATTTGTCTCACCATTAAATAGATCAAAATATCAACATGGATTTTTAGCTTTTTTTAAATGTATATGTAACTTATACACATAGGCCAAAACATGTTTTTTAAGTTTTCTCTTTCAAATGTTTTCTAATATACTGTCTGTGCAAGGGGAAGATCAGTCAGGCAAATTTTCTACTTAGAGAGTTCCCAGAATTAACATAAAAAAATAACTCAATTAACAAAAATGACATTATAATTTCACATAAATTGATAGTTTATTTTTTAAATGGGCATCAGTCACATATATACACAGATACATAAATATGTGTGTAGATATATGTATATGTGTATACATATATATTTTAAAAATTTATAAATAAATGTATATGTATATAAAATATATATATATATAAAAACAATAGCCAGGGCTGGGGTTGTAGCTCAGTGGTAGAGCACTTGCCTAGGATATGTGAGGCACTGGGTTCGGTTCTCAGCACCACATGCAAATAAATTAATTAAATAAAAGGTCCATCAACAACTAAAAAAATATTTTTAAAAAATAGCCATTTCAACACATTTATGATAGAGGCTCACAGTCCCTCCTAAAAATTATGGTATAATATTTAGCTACCAAAACACTAAATAATATTAGGGAGTAAATCAAAATAGAAAAAAAATCTATATTATAGAAAGAAAAATCATTCTATCCAAAACATTTTTTAAATTTGTGTAAGTACAGAAACATTTGTTCTGCATTAATATGTAATGAGAGCAATATCTACAATTTAATTACCAAGCAGAGACTCTGATTTTCGGCAGCTGAAGTCATTTTATTGACATAGCATTTGCTTCATTGGCAAAAAGAACAGATCCCCTTAATAACATGTTTATTATAAAATGTGCACTCTCTTAGTTCACAAGCTAAACAGAAAGAAAATATTTCAAATATGAAATGTTTATCTCAGTGAAACATTCTGAAATTTCAAAGAGACAGTTGAAATGTGGATAATGCAAAGGTTTTTAATATGCAATGTGAAATGCCATAATTTTTTATCATTTGTCTGAAATAGATCAAGTTAGGTTAGAAAGTTGCTCACTTCAGTTAGTACTTCCTCCTTTAAAAAATATACTCAAATATGCCAAAACATTAGCTATCTTGTAGCAGCCAAAAATTAGATGAAACAACCATCCTTTTAAAATCCCAGCTTAGTATCACACTGTAATGCACTCATAAAAAAAATCAAAAAGCATGTGCTAGAGCCTTATATAAGAGGATTATTCTGGAATCGAGTGGAATCAGCATCCTGGTGCTTTGAGCACCAGGCTCTAATCAACTGCAATAACACAGGTAGGTGAACCACAGCTGCCTCTACAGCTTGCTTGAACCTGTAACCATCCGATTTAAGGTAGACCCATCAGTCAACTCTAACTATCTCTATAAATTAACAGTTAAGAAACTATCAAAGACCCTAATAAGAGCCAAATGATTCTACTATGAAACTTTAAAGTTTCTCCAATCAGTGCCTTTTATGTAAAACTCAGTTTAGCAAAGCACTAACCTATGCTAGAGGGGAAAAACTAAAAAAGGAAATTCAATCTCCTATCATGTGATGAAGATAAACAAATTGAATATGAGTGGAAGCTCATTCATTCACAAGCATTTTCTTCTTACCAGCAACATTTAAATTGATGAAAATAAGGCATAGTTGAGTTTCCCCTTTAAAAAAAAAAAAAAAGCTATTAACTAATAAAACAAAGACGCAGAAAATACAAAGACATTGGACCAAAGGTAGAGACCATTTGATCCTCTATCTAGGAAACATTTGGCTCTTAGAGTCTTTTTTCTACATTAGAACTACAGGCCAAGTGCAGGGGCATTACCTTGACTATCTGAATTCCCATCGAATCATCATCAGGATTACTCCTTTCATTGAAAGTGAAACGCATGGTTTTATCCCAGTCAATGGCTATACTGTGCAAATAATGATCTGCCAAGGTCAACCAAACCTAAAATATTGCATAAATAAAAAAGGTTGCTAAAGTAGAATATGTAATTTCACTTTTGTTAGAAAATAGTTACTGCATCCGACAAGAAAATGGGAACCGTTCCTAATCCAGATAAAGCTTGTACGTCAAGATCTGTAACAACCTCATCAAAATTTTTGCTGTACTGAATTGCGACCTTTGAATCCTTTCATTTTTTTCTTTCAATAACTATTTGTAAAGTTCCTACCATGTGTCAAGTAACAATCCAAGCATTAGAAAACAAGCCATGAGTTTTTTGGAATTTTATTTCAGTTTCATTAGATTCGCTGCATTTTCTTATAAACTTGTTTACTTGGCTCTAAGTTACTTTCATGCTTGGGCAAAACCCACTTGGCCACTCATAGTGGTGGGGCCTTTTTTTCACCATGGAGGCCTCTGCCTTTAAATCATCCCTCCCACACACATAAAACTAACAGATGGGCTCCCATAATGAAGAACTTTTTTAAAAGAGTCATTGGATATTTTTACTCCTTTGTCTTACCCAGAAAATCTGCTTCTACAAAATGCATTTCATAATGCCATTTTAAATATTTATTCTAAGGAACTTTCAATGTTCAAATTCTAGGAGTATTAAAACTAGGTTTATAAATTAATATCCTAAGAACACATTTCAGGTTTTGGTATTTTAACTTGATTTTGCAGGAATAGCATTGATTAGTATTTCCAACCAGACTCATAAGCATCAGAATCATATGTCCAAATGCACACTTGATACCTTCAAGTTAGATATCTAATAGGCATCTCAACTTTAATAGATCCCAAACCAAACAGCTAATCTCCCACCAACCCAACTCTAATACAATCATAAAGTATTGCACCCCTGATCCTCCCATCTATATAAACAGTAACTCTCTACCTTTCCAGTCAGTCAGGCCAAAATCTTAAAGTCCTCCTGGACAAACCTTTCATACATTATATTCAGCCCACTTGGATTTCATATCAGCTGAGTATTCAAAATATATATCTAGAATTTGACCCTCCTCTCCATCTCCACTGCCCCAACCTAAATCATCTGTTGCCTGAATTACTGTGAGTCTCCAACTGATCTCCCTCCTTCTGCCCTTGGCTCTCATATTCTCAAGTTAGCCACCAGATCTGTCCCTTTGAAACATAATTCAGATTATGTTACTCCCCTACTCAAACTTCCCATTCCACACTGAGCAAAAAACCCAAGTCCAGCCAGAGTGTACCACCCTTCTGTTACCTCTAAGACTCTCTCCCCTATTGCTTCTCACTTCGTCCTCTGTGCTCCACCCCACCCCTCTGCTTTGGATTGTATCAGGTGAGATGCTCTCACCTGAGGGCGTTTGCACCGGCTCTTCCCTTAGCCTGGAGTGTTCTCCCTCAGGTAGCTACATTTCTGACTTCTTCACTCCCTCAGGGCTCTACTCACGCATTACTTTGCTATTTAAAATTCTACCTCCTTACCCCTATTCTCCCACACTCTCCTTATTTCTTTCTGTGTTTTATTTTTATCCACAGCACTTGTCACCATCTGACATACTTTATATTTTATTCATTGTAAGCTCCTCAGGACAAAAACTTCAGTCTGCTGTTGTTTTCACTGCTGCATCCCTAGCACCTAGAACAGTACGTGATACAGAATGGATAATCAATAACTGCTTACTGCGTGCATAAATAATGAAGCAATAAGTATCAAATTACTAAATCTAGAATATATTTTTTGACATTCCAGAGGTTTTGAAGGACAGAATGACAGCCTTTCTGTATTTTAGCCTTGCAAATCCACCTTACCTTTCTTCTCCATTCCTTTGGTATCCCTGTTGATAGTCTGGCTACAGCCTTGAGAGCATCATACCACTAGGAACAAAGAAGAGCTATCAGGGAAGTAATAATACCAACCCGGATAAGCAATTTCAACCTTTTCTCCATCTTCACATACACAGAGTATGATACAATTAGTACAGCACACTAGGATAAATAAAGCTTCTTGCAGCTGGCAGTTATGGGTCTGGGGATAAGACTGCCCCAAAACCCACACCTCTGGTACTCTAAACACATCTCTGACCCATTTTCAGTAAACAAACAACAATTGGGAAACTCAAAAACCAAAACATGTGCCAGGCATAGTGGTGCATGCCTGTAATCCCAGCAGGAGGCTGAGGCAGGAGGACTGTGAGTTCAAAGCCAGCCTCACCAATTTACTGAGGCCTGAGGCCCTAAGCAACTCAGCGAGACCCTGTCTATAGACAAAATACTAAAAAAGGCTGGGGATGTGGGGATGTGGCTCTGTGGTTAATCACCCCTGGGTTCAATCCCTGGTAACAAAATATATGTTGTGAGATATATATATATATATATATATATATATATATATATATACACACACACACACACACACACACACATACATACATACATATACATACACGCACACACATACATATATATATGTACACACACACACATATACATATACACACACAAGTGTATATATCAAAACATGTACTATGAGTTCAGAATAATAAATATTTGGTTATTAAAACTTTTTCAGGGCTGGGGTTGTGGCTCAGCAGTAGAGCACTCGCCTAGCATGTGTGAGGCACTGGGTTCGATCCTCAGCAGCACAAATAAATAAAATAAAGCTAAAAAAATTAACAATTTTACCATTTATAGAAAGTGCAAAACTGGCCAGACATGATGGCACAGGCCTGTAATCCCACTGGCTCAGAAGACTGGAGCAGGAGGATCACAACTTCAAAGCCAGCCTCAGCAACTTAGCAAGACTCTGTCCCCAAATAAAATATAAAAAAGAGCTGGGATGTGGCTCAGTGGTTAAGTGCGCCTGTGTTCAATCCCCAGTGCCCCCCAAAAAAAGAAAATGCAAAAATTGTCATGTGTAGCTTCAAAAGTTATTTTACTTGAAACCGAGGGGTTAAAAAAAAAAAACTCTGACATCTTCCTATGCATATCAAAGTATATGCTAATATTCAAACTTTGAGACTATATCTCAATGTGCCTTACTGGTACCACCAAACAAGAGTATATTCAAAGCAAAAATGAAGTTACCTGCTGAAAACCATTTTGACCTAAAGATGGCTCAAGAGTGAACTTCAATTTTGTATCAACTCCTAAAAGAAAAATACGTAAATCATTGTTATTCATGGAAACTATGACAAATTATATCAAAAATCTGAATAAACCTTGATTCTACTGAATAATTATTTAAATTTTTAAAACCAGGTATTTTTACTAAATTATAGCCAATTTTGTTAAAATAAAAAGCAAATGTATTCATTATTAAAACAGGAAGATACCATATGGCAATATAGAATAGAGCTTATCACCTGGGATGGTAGTTTCCACAGCTACCTGGAATAGTGCCAAAACAAAACAAAACCTGGCGCCACAGGACTAGAGTTACACACACCTCCATTCAACCTTGGTTCTCACACTGAAACCAACTGCTTCACCTGTATCAACCTCAATTCCTTTATCTTTAAAATTAAAACAATAATGTCTATCTCTGAGGACGGTTGTGATGGCTAACTGTAAATCTCCAGGTACAGTGTAATTAATATTAATGAAAGGTAGGAAGATAATTCTCTACTTAGAGTTTGTTTTTCCAGGATGCTTGAATGGACTAAGATTATTATGATAACTTTAGTGGAATAACCAAAGCTATAAAATAATATTATGGGGCTGTGGATGTAGTTCAGTGGTAGAGCGCTTACAAGGCATGGCCAAAGCCCTGGGTTCAATCCCCAGCACCGGAGCAAAGAAGAAGAAAAAAAAATATACACATATATGTCATTGCCTTTCCTTTTGATCCATTATAACAATTCTGTTTGGAGATTTTTATGTTTTTTTAAATATTTATTTTTAGTTGTAGTTGGACACAATACCTTTGTTTTATTTATTTATTTTTAAGTGGTGCTAAGGCTCGAACCTAGGGCCTCACACATGCTTAGGCAAGTGCTCTAACGCTGAGCCACAACTCCAGACCAATGGAGATTTTTATATTTTTTAAATTCTGTCTTGATAGACTTATTCATTGAAGATAAAACATTATGTGTATTAAATTACAAACTACAAACTAAACACATAATTGAACTCTAATCCCAAATAATCAACAACTTTAGATAATCTTCTTTGATAGAAATTCCAAATATATGGAACAGAAGTAAATAAATTGGAAAGGGTATAAAGGTCTTCATTCAAAATTCTGTATTAGAATTATGTATTGTTATTAAAATGAAATTACGTGTTTAAATTCTATAAAAATAAAATCATATCTTAAAATACTATAAATCCTCTTTCTACAATTTCAAAATCAAGTACATGACCTTTTAAATCACTTTTTTAAAGACTTATTGTTTGTAATGCATTCCACTGTCACGTATAAATTTAAAAAATAATAATAAAGACATTGCTTTTAAGTCCAAGAAATACCAAACATTATCAATAACATTCAGTTTTATAAATTACAAAAATCAAATTATATTTTTGCCTACAAGTTATTGGTTGCAGGTTAGGCATGTTGAAAATCTACACATTTTCAATGCTGAGGGGTGGTATGAATAGGAACAATCTTCAGAATTTATAAAATATAGTAAGAGTAATAACAAAGTAGATTGGTCTTTTAAAGGACAAATCTTGGAGACAAGAATCAGGAAAGAGATGTATCTGATTTTCCCAAGTCCATGACAGGATGCAGATGTTCTTCTTGGAGCCCTGGAAGAGTGCTGTGGATACACGGTATTGGGACCTAGATTTCTTTTTCTTTTTTTTTTTTTTCTTTCTTTTTTAATATTTAGCTTTTAGTTGGACACAATATCTTTTTTTTTTTTTATGTGGTGCTGAGGATCGAACCCAGGGCCTCGCGTGTGCTAGGTGAGAGCTCTGCCCTGAGCCACAACCCCAGCCCTGGGACCTAGATTTCTAAAGTCAAGCTACGGTAGAAATATCAATGCCTTGATATTTCTCTTCAAAGCTTTGGGGTCAAAACCACACTCTGCCTGGATAGATGATTTTCTTCTTCGGAGAAAAATTAAGTACCCAACTGATTCTCATCTCTGTAAGATGATTTAAATGAAGTCCAAGAGTGCCTCTAGCTCCAAAGGCATTTTAATAAACAAAACTGTGTTGGGAGGGTGCTGTCCAGAAGCGGGGTGCTGAAGGGAGGAGTGTATAATCATTACGTTTGTTTTACTGCAATTAAGACCAATAAGTCAGTCCCAAGCTGACTTATTCCTGCTGCCCTAAAACTGCAGGATTTCTTAACGTGTTTGACCAAATATCCTCCTCCTCTGACTTTTCTGGAGCACCTGCTGGGCGTCATACAGATTGCCTTTCCAAGCTGAAACCCAGCAGGAGTTGGTTAGCCAAAACCACAACTATTTTCCCATAATCAAAAATGAGTCAGAGAATTTAGGTGGAATTGATCATCTGCCGCCTGCATACAAAAGCTTAAATCAGGTCATTTTCACCCCCTTTTCTTCTAACTGAATAAAGGAGGAAAGAAGGTTTAAGTTTCATCTGATAATCACAGCTGTTCAGGATTCAGAAATATAAAACACTTTTAACATGGGAAGGAGTTTTTTTTTTCCTTTTTAAAGAGAGGTAAAAGAAGATGACGAATAAATACTACAATTTCTGCAACTAGACACTTCCGTGGGGAGGAAAACAAAGAAACCACGAGGTTCGGAAGGCAGCAATGCTTTCCATCCTTTGGGACTTAGAGCCTGGGCTGAATCCCCCACAACTGGCTGATAACAGGTCCCAGCAGTCGCTGAGGGGCGGGCAGTGGAGATGACCAACACTCTTGGAGCCCAGCCCGGGCCACTCCAGGGAAAGGTGAGCGCCAAGCACCGTTGCGAGTACAGCTGGCTCCCTTTGCACTCAGCTGGCAGCGCCAGCCTCTTAAAACGCCCGGGAGGGACGCTGGGTGGTGGAGCTGACGCCGAGTTATGCAGCCTGGAGAAGCAGGGATGTGTAAACACAGGCTGTTGGCAGAAAGGGCCTATCCTACCACGGCCAGGCGTGCTCCCAAACCTTACCTACATCAAGGATCTCCTGTCTGCTCCCCACCAAGGCTCAAATTAGAGGGTTCATACAGGCTGACCCTGGGACTCATTACAGGCACACTCAGGAAAGCATATATTCGATTTTTGCTTCGCAGTCGCAGCCTTCCCCTCCGACCTCTGGTGTCAACCCTGTGCCTTTCTCCACCCCACACACCTCTTTCAAGGTCTGGCTTCCTGCGAGCCCGGAGCACAATAGGTGGCGCAGCCTCTGATCGCGGGGGCAGCCTCCCGCACCTCCCCACCTCGCGCAGGAGGCCGGCTCACAGGCCGCGGGGTGGGGGTCCGCGGGCGGGAGCAGCCCATTCTTCGCGTCTCAGGAGGCACTGCTGGTGCCCAGGCCCTGGTCCACGCACTGTGCCCTCCCAGGCCGACCGAGCTCCGCCAGCACCAAGCCACAGCGCCTGGCCTAAGCGGAGTCCAGCGGAGGCTAGGGTGCAAGCCGCACCGGCTCCAGGGCGCCACGCTACTTTCCAGCGCCCCATCTGCAGCCCCGGGTCCTCACCCGGCTCCAGGGTGCAGAGCAGCCGGGGCGCGGTCCGCGAAATGCAGCTGCGCTTCTTGAGCACATTGCTCAGGATGGTGCCCACGCCACCGCCGCCACCACTCTGTCGCTTCAGGCATCTCCCCCCGCGTCTCAGGGAGCCGGTCAGCTTGTCCTGCCGCATCCAAGAGCACCCCGGGATCCAGCACCGCGGCTGTCCTCCTCGGTCCCCGCTGCCTCGTCGGGGTAGCGGCTTCAGGCGCAGAGCTCAGTGAGTCCAAGCTGACGAGGGTGCCTAGGAGCAGCAACCAGCCCTCCAGGGATCGAGAGGACCTGAGAGCACCTTGGGAGCCGCCGAGCATCGGGAGGCGCGGGCATCTGCAGTGCGGAGCCAGCACAGCTGAAGCAGGAAAGGGCTTGGGGCGGGGAGGGAGGGAGGGCGGGAGCCAGTGAGCGGGAGAAGAAGGCGGCGCTCCCGCCCCCAATCCCAGCATCGCTGTGCGCAGGCGGGGCAGCCCCCGCCCTGGAGCCGGTAGCCCGGGCGTCAGGGAATCCGGGACCGCAAGGAGACCAAAAACAGTTTTCCGCGCTTCTCCCAGGAGAGAGGATTGGAGAGGGCTCCAAAGGGAGCCAGCCTCAGGTGCAGAACACCAGCAAGCTGCCAGTGCCCACCTCATCTAAGCAACCTTGGAACCGAAGGTCAGTCCGCCACAGGACAAATCTGGCAGCGTGGCATTGAAGCTGACAGATGGTGAAGTACAATCTTCCCCCCAAATTGCGTTAAACTCTTTCCTGGCAGCTTAGAGAGGCATGGAAAATGTGGTTTTTAAAGGAAAAAAAAACACACTTTTTTAAATGATTATTTCTCTTAGAAAAAAAAATGGACCTTTGGAAAAGTGTTCTCATTGAAGAGCAGTTTTTAAAAGAAGTGGTTCTTCATCTCTCCAGAGCTTCATTAGTTCTGAGCTAAGATTAACCATCCTTGCTGTTAAAAAGAAAAAAGCCATTCTTAAAACAATGGAATATTTACCACAAAAATGAATGAGGAAGAAAAGGGTGGGGTATAAAGATATTTGTATTTGCTATTCTTTGGAAACAGAAACACTAGTTCAATAAACCAAAAGTGAAATTTAAAAACTGGGAGGGGGTACAGTGTGAAGATTGGAATGAAAAGCTGAGCTTTCTTTGGATTTGCCTTATGTAGTTTTTTTCAATATTTTTTTAGTTGTTGATAGACCTGTATTTTATTTATATGCAGTGCTGAGAATCGAACCCAGTGCCTCACACATGCCAGGCAAGTGTGCTACTGCCTAGTCCCAGCCCCAGCCCTGCCTTATATAGTTTTGACTGTGGAATAACATTAACAATATTAATAAAATTTATAAAGAAGACTCTAAAGTCTCAAAAATGAATGAAAGCAAATGATCCTAACTAAACAGCCATTGATAGTATAAGAATACAGAAAAAATAATTGATTTAGAACATAATATGACTTTCATTGACAGTGGTATATATTCCAAGAGCAAATAGAGCTGAAAGAAAATATTAATTTCATTCAGGAGTA